TAGTCCCACACCCGAAGAGAACGAGGACACGAAGGCCTCGGTAACTCCATTAGCCGGTTTGGGATAAAAGGTACGAGGGGTCCCAGACCCGCCTCGCATGAAAAGGTAGACTTTACTAGCAATACCAAAGGACCCTTGGGGACCAGTAGTATACAAGCCATTGAAAGTCCTTTTACGTTATGTCGGATCGGTAAAACCCAACACTTCGTAAGAGAGAGGTCTTCGGGCATTAAGATCAGGTCATTGAGCTAGCTAGGCTCAACGAACAAGATTTTACACTTTTGGGGCCCAAAGGTGGTGCGTAGACGTCTGTGCACACTCGCATGTATAGTGACTTCCCAATCGTTATCGTAATGTCGTAATGTCATAGTGTCGTCGTGTTAGTAGTTTCGGATTTTTATTGGTTCGAGACCGAACTAATTCGTTTGACAACGACTTTTGGTGTTGTAATGTATTGTATTTCGTCGATAGTCGTGGTATCATCATTTGATCAAATTGCATGTATTGAACTAGTCTTGAGAATTTTTCTGTTTTCAGCCCCTTCTTATTTGTAAAAATTTACTTTTTCAACCCTTTATTTAAAAACTTTCCGGTTTGGTCCTTAAATCAATTTTCTTGATATTTTAATACCAAAAATTATTGAAATAAGTATTTTCCAGCATATTTTTCATAGAAAACAGCTTAAGTCCCTGAATTTCAGTTTTTCTCGGTTATAACCTTTCTTTTTCGAAAGTTTGACAATTTTGGCCCAAATTGTAAAATTTTTGCAACTTTGGTCCTTTTTAAATTTAAAAAGCATTTTAAACCTTTGAAAAGGACTTGGATCACTTATAGTCCACTTTTTTATAGAAAAACACAGTTTTGGCCCTCCAAAACAGAAAATTTCGCATAATGGGCCTCATTGGGCCGAAAATGTCATTTTTAGCCCATTAAGCTTGAAATTTATGTTTTTAATCCTCTAAATGAGTATATTTCCAGAAATTGTTTTATTGAAACTGTTTTGACATAGTTCAACCATCAAAATTCGTGATTTGTCAATTTAGGCCCTTAAAGTTTGTATTTTTCGCATTTTAAGTCCAAAAATGGTATTTTTAGCCCAAAGAAATTGTTACTAAACCATTTAGCCATTTTTCTAAAAATACTTTGTATGTAGAAATATATTTGATGCTAGAGTCTTTTAACATAAGGTATATCTCGGTTTTGAGGGGTTTTATGGCTAGATCCAACATTATAACACACAAAAGCACACATATAAGCATAGGGATGAGCATAGGCGGGTACCCGCCTCATTTGGCGAGAACCGGAACCGGAACCGGCGGTTCCTAAAAAGTTAGAACCGGAACCAGAACCGGTCTAGGCGGTTCTTAAATTGTTGGATCCAGTCCCAGAACCGGCGGTTCCGGTTCCGGGAGCGGGTAACCCGGTTACATTAACTTTTTTCGATAAAACCGCAACTTAGTTCGATCCAAATCGAATCAATTCGGACCAAAAAGGGACATAATATATTCTAAACCGGTCTAAGTAACACACACATATTTATATGAAATACCAATATATATATATATATATATATATATATATATATATATATATATATATAAACCGGTTTCGGCGGGTACCCAGCGGGTAGCGGTTCCAAAAAAATGAGAATTGGAACCGGAACCGCTTAAGGCGGTTCCATAACTTTAGGAACCGGAACCGGAACCGCTTAAGGCAGTTCCAGTTCCAGAACCGGCAGTTCCAAGGCGGTTCCGGTTCCAAAAGCGGGTACCCGGTTCCGATGCTCATCCCTATATAAGCATGGAATCATACAAAGCATACAAAACACATATAGATCTACACTTTCACTTGCATTCCCCCCCCCAAAAAAAAAAAAAAAAACTTATGAAAACCGAAAATAGGGGGTATGAAGCTCACCTTGTTTGAAGCTTTCGGTTTTTGGAAGAAAAGATGGAAGAAAGTTTGGTGATTTTCGGCCTTAGCACCTTTCCTTGGTAGATCTCAAGTTTGGTGACTTCTAAGGTGCATGATCACAAGTTGGAATAGATTTAGAAGAGGTTTTTGATGGAGTGAAGTAGTTAGATCATGGATATAAGTAAAAACTTACCTAAGATGATGATTAACTTGCAAGATCCTCTTGAAAGCTCCTAAATTTCGAGATTTTGGGAGTGGGGAGGAAGGAGTGTTCTTGAGAGAGTTGAGAGATTTTTGTGAATGTGTGTGTGTGTGTTGCTCGGCCGAGAGTGAGAGGGAGGAGAGAAGAGAGTGATTTTGAAGTGATGTTTGCATGGAAGAATGAGATGAGTTGCATGGATGTCCTATGGATAACAATGATGTGGCAATGGTAAAGTCAACTCTTCCATTTCCTCTTGGGCTTGTGCATTGGGCTGAGAATTTGGAAGGGAAGAGGAAAAATTTGGGCCTTTGCCCCTAAGCCCAATGTTAGTGTTAATCTTGAGTATGTTTTAAGTCTAAAGGAATGTGGTAGGATTTTTATATTTTTATTGGACTAGTTTAGGTCATTCATGTATCAAGGCTTTTAATTCATTTCATTCGAGGTCCAACATAGCCCAAAATGTTGAAACAAATAGATGTGGGTCCAATTAGAGCCCATTTAAGAGTTCTAAACCCAAGATAGTCAAATTGGAAGTTTATTGGTCCATTAGGCCCAATAAGGAAGTTCTAGTCCAAAGTGGACCTAAATAAGAACTTCTAGGGTTTCCAATTGCTTGTTGGCTATTTGTAATGCTTGTATGGTGTATTTGATTGAAATTCTGTTGTCATAATAATAGGTGTTACGCATGTTCTTAAGCTTTTGATTCACTTAAGCTTGAGTGTATAGTTTACAAGACACAAAATTTCCAGTTGTGACAATTGAGTAAGTGACCGACTCGGCGAGTCAGCAAGTGGACTCAGCGAGTCTGGTCTGGGTGAGAAAAACCCTAATCCCAGAGGTTGTGCCCTATATAAAGCACATTATAACACACCCTCAACCTCTTTTCTCCCCTTTTGAGTTCCAAAAACCCTAGAATTGAGTGAGCCTTCATTATTTGAGAGAAATGAGCCTTGGAGGAGAGAATCTTGGAGAGGGGCTTGAAGATCAAGGGCTTTTCTGCAAAGTAGTGGTGTAGATCCGGGATTTACTTCAGTTGGAGCTTTCATTTGAGGTAATAGTCTGTTGTTTGGGCTTATGTGCATCTAGATCTATCTTATGTTTGAGTTTTGGGCATTTTGAGTATGGATGAGATCTATTTCGAGTTTGGAGTAGATCTGAGGTTGCTACCTCAGATCTAGGTTGGTAATAACCCAGAAAGTCATAAAGTTTAGGCCAATAAGTTGTTGGTGAAGCCCCTTTGTTACAAAACCTATCCCTAGAGTGTTCTAAGCCTATAACTCCTTGGTTACACCTAAAGTTTGCCATTTTACGTGGGGGTTAGGCTCTAGAGGAATGGATCTATGGATTTGAGCCCCTGCATGGCTCGAAAAGCCACTGTATGGATTAAGAACTGAAGAGGCTCGACGAGTCACATGGGTGTACTCGGCGAGTTGTATGATTATTAGCATGAACTCAGCGAGTTGGAAGAACAACTCGGCGAGTATGTTGAAGATTGCCTTGGATTCGGCGAGTCTGGTCGCAGAACCTCAAACCTTTTCTGGTTAAGCCTCGAATCAGTGAGTCAGGAGGTGACTCAATGAGTGGAGAAGGACAGAACTCGGAAATCAGTAGACTCGGCGAGTCATGGTCTGACTCGGCGAGTAGGGTCAACCTGGAAGGTTGACTTTGACCAGGACTTTGACATTGACCAGAGTTGACTTAGTTTGACCTTTGAAGGGAAGTTTGGGACTAAGTGTTATATTTGGTATTAGTAGATTGGGGAGTCATTAGAGTAGCAGTGCGGGAGTTGTCAGATAGCAGTCAGCAGGGTATCAGCAAGAACTCCAGCAGTGCAGGTGAGTTTCCTTCCAGTAGGAATGGTCTAAGGCCACAATGCCGGCCTGTTTAGCTAGCAGTAGTTTCCGGACTTCGGTCCGATGCATTAGTTAGTATGTTTGATGCCTTCGTGGCCCAGACAGGATTTATGTGTTATGTGTTCCGGGCTACGGCCCGATGCAGTATGCAGTATATGTGTGTTCATGCTAGTTGATATGTTTATGTTATGCTTTGTTCATTCAGTTTCCGGACTTCAGTCCGATGCAGGGGGCAAGGCCCCAGTTATTCCGAACTTCGGTCCGATGCAGGGGACAAGGTCCCAGTCAGTTCCAGACTTCGGTCTGATGCAGGGGACAAGGTTCCAGTCAGTTTTCGGAATTCGATCCGATGCAGGGGGCAAGACCCCAGTTAGTTTGGACCTCGGTCCGATGCAGTGGGCAAGGCCCAATATGTGCTTTACATGTTATTGTATGGTATGTGGTAGTTTGGGGGAGCTTACTAAGCTTTGTGCTTACGGTTTTCAGTTTTGGTTTCAGGTACTCAGTTTTCAAAAGAGGAGCTCGGAGAGGTTGTCATGCACACACCATAGTCAGTTAGTCTGGGAATGTTTTACTCTGATAATGAGACTATGTTTTGAATTAATACTCGAAAATTATGTTATGACTTATGATACAGTCTTATAAATATGGTTTTAGTAATGTTTTAAAAGAAATTTTTAGTCGTGATTTTTGGGTTGTTACACATAATTAAGTCGTGTTAGATGAACCTAACCATATATATATATATATATATATATATATATATATATATATATAGAGAGAGAGAGAGAGAGAGAGAGAGCTAGGTTCAAATGTGTTTAGCAAGTATTGTGTGCCTAAATGCACCAATGAGAATTCAAGAAATAATAAACAATTAAATGAATCATTTAAGGGTATTCTGGAAATTTTGTACTTTTTAATTAAGGGATCATTTAATTGAAAATCCTGCAATTAAGGAAATATAATCAATATATTTGACCTAGTTTCTCTTATTCGAGTATTCACTTTCCCTGAACTCAAATCGGCCACCAATGGCTTTAGCCGCCATTGGTGTTCATCCTCTTCAATCGGTCGTCAATACAGGATACGAAGTAAGAATCCCACGGGTTTCTTATGACTTCTTTCACTTTTCCTTTCTGTTCATATTCAATTTACCGATCAGCTAATGACCACTGAACCCTAACCCTTATCTTCATCAGGTAAGCAAACTCCAATTGGTGAAGATTCCACATTACGAAGAAAGTCTTTTGTATCATTTGTCTATGACGCTACCTCTGGTGCGGATGGTGGTGTAGAGATGGCGAAAAGTGGCGACTCTGGACGACAACGTAGAGGAGGAAGGAGAAAGTAGACGGGAGTTCCCTTTCTATTTCCATTACCCTATCCTAAGGTGTGTTCATTACTTTTTGTATTAAATTCGGTTTTTAGAGTTGTAAAAAAAATAGAATTCATGTGGAATTGAAATTGACTGAGATATGTAGGGTTTTGTGGTTGATAATTGGAAGAAAGATTTTCATCTCTATATCAACGAATCCTATCATTCAACAACAAAATCCTTCCAATTTCAATTGTTTGCCTTCTGTCCTCCCTCACAGCTTCGAGAATGGCCCCAAAGTGTCATTGGGTTTTTGTTTTGTAACCCCAAGTATATTTCTTTCTTAATTTTCTTCACTTTTTCATAGATTTTTCCTTTAAAGATTTAAGAATAAGAAGTCGATCGGTGGCCATCGGTTGTTAACCCGATTTTTCCTTTGGTGTGTATTTTTTGTGGTGATGTAAGCAGGAACATGTGTTATTTCAAATATTCATGATTCAGATATTCTGTGGAATTTAATGTATGTTAGGATGATACAGGAATGAGAGGAAACTTATGAAAAAAAGATATGTGATACTTCATTCTCAAAGAATGAAGAAAAACAACAATACTCTTTCAGAATTTCAGGATTCAACATCCAAAAACAGCAATATTCTTTCAGAATTCAAGAATTCAAGAAGAAAACATGGAGAACGAGAGTATTCTAGCAGAATGTTGTTATTTTTAAGAATGTTATTCATTTTTTTATATTCTTTTAGAATATTATATAACTATATTAAAATGTATAAGACTTTTAGTTTGTAAGAATATGTATGAATTTATATTTAAGTTCAGATGTATAAAAGTATATTAGAATGTTTGTTATTTTTCAACATCTTATTTAAGAATTTTGTTTTTCTTCAATAATATTCTATTAGAATATAATTTTGAAAGAGTATCATTCTAACAAAAAACATTCTGATAGAATAAAATCGGTAAAAATTGAAATTAAATTAATTAAAAAATTCAGATTTTTTTAAAATTAGGAGAATTAATCATTCCTAAAAATCCAAAATTTTCCTTTTATAAATGTAGCTAATTGTCCAAAATACCCTTTTGCTAAAAATTGTGTGATTATATGGTACATGTTACTCCATTGTAATATGATACACTCTCAAATCATGTCCATTGATTAATTTCATCCGTTGGTTCAGATCTGTGCATTCTGGCACACAATACTTAGTAAAAACAAAATAACCTAAGCCTATATATATATATATATATATATATATATATATATATATATATATATATATATATATATATATATATATATATATATATATTAGTGGAAATAATTTGAAAGAGTAGTGGCAAAACTAACATGACATAATGACATAATTGAAAGACTAATTGGAATTTCACAGATATAGATGGTCTAATACTAAGGATATTATTTTCCTCGCTTAATTTATTAAATTAAGATTTTTTTTATAATATAAAGTAAAAAAAGAAAAACACCCTAATGCTCTAGCCAAACAAATGCTCAAGTTGACTGCTAACTGTGGGCCAATGAGATATGAGAATGAATGATAGTTGCGCACTTGTGCTTGTCTCTCTTCAAGTTTGGTAGTTATTAGATATCTTTAAGAAATTTTGTTTAAAATTTTCAGTTAGAGATCTAATTACCCCTCAAAAAATAAAACTATAATCAAATTGTAGTATATTTCACACGTTTTGCAAATATTCTAGCTCCGCCACCGGTATTAACAACACATTAGTAAAGTAATCTTGATATTTTACGTCCGTTAATTAATATCGTGTTTCAAAGAAAGCAAGTATGATAATTGCTCAATGGAGCAGAGACCATGGAGAGTCAACGGTCAATGAGTCAATTCTTGATAGTTTGTCTTGATCGATAAAGAAAATTAAAATTTCTCTCCCACTTGTTTAAAAGACTTTGTTTTTAATAGAACTTCAAGTCCAGTGCTGAGTTCCCATATGATAAAACACCCTAAATTTATTTATATTTTGATGCTGTTAAACCACAATTAATTAAAACATGTGAAAGCTTTATGTTACCTTGATTATTTCTTTAAGTAGGTCGTATCGATTAGATCTGTGTCCACGATTCCCAAACAACTTTAACATTGATCAATGATTCATCCTAAGGTCAATTTCATGGTCGAACATTTATGTCAGTGAAAAAGTATATACTTTCTTCAAGGATGATGTGATATTCGAAATGTAAGGAAATGGCTTCTATGGTCTAAAAATCTATAGCTTATTCGTATTGTGAGTTGAGACGTATTAGATGGGCATATAATGGCAACCACATGAAACTTTCCAAGGGATGTTTTGACGTTTAAAAGGGGTTAAGAATGGATGGAGGTGAAGAGTCGGCGACTCAAAAGCCTTGAGGTCTTCATCAATAAGGAGAAAATTACAAAAGTGGCAGAATTTCTATGCCTTTGGCAAGTTGAGTATTTGGGTGTGAACGCTTATTAAATGCTACTCACATAAGACTCTCATATTTTAGCCTAACTGTTCCAATTTCCAAAGACTTGCTGTAGAGAACACATAGACCTAGCTACAAGATGTATATATAATGGAGTCTCGAGAACACAGGTGATATTAAGAGTCTAACTTCTTCTGTTGGATATCGAAATGATTCGCGTCTTCTTTTTAGCCTCACTTGTTCTCTCTTTTCTACCTTATATTCGCTCTGCTACAGAACTCAACACTTCTCTGTCTATCTGCCCAGAAAGTTTCAGTTGTCCAAATTTGGCCTCCTTCACGTACCCGTTTTATAATAATGCCACTGACATGCAATGTGGGTTGATTCAGGTCATCTGTACTTTGAATGGTGGGAGAATTCAACTTGGAAGAAACTTATACGACATTTATGGCAAGTATGTGTCTGATCCGATTGTCTCGATCCGTAATTTAACATTTGAAAAACTTGTAAATGATAGCAGTTGTAAGGCACTTATGGATAATTTCACTTCTCCCAGTCCTCATTTGTATAACATTTCACTCGTAACCTTCATCACTCTCTACAAATGCCCAAAGCTTCCAAATGATGTTGCAGAAATGGAAGCTTATTTTGACCAATCTAATTACAATAAAAAGAGATGTGGAGATTACAATTTCTACTATAACCATTCCATCAGTGATAAAGCAGTTCCAAGTGATCTCCCGCCTGCATGTCAAGTAATACAGCTGCCTGTGAATGTGGGAGAGAGAAGTAATGGTAACGAGACTAACATATTTTCTCTTCTTAGTTCTGTAGTCTCTATTTATTTTGTAACTCCATGCAATAAGTGTCAAAAGGAAGAGGGCCGATGCTACACTCTCAATGGACACTTCCAGTACTGCAAAAATGGTATTTACACCTTCTTTTTTTTTTTTTTTTTTTTTTCCTTTGTGTTTTCTCCTTATTCTGGGTATACCGGATAACTGATATAACCTGTCTTTTGTTGTTTGGTTGCTGCAGAAACAACACTCAGAAAACTGAAATATATCCTAGGTAATACACATCTTGCATAAAATGCATTACTGCTAAATATATAAATGCATACACACATATCTATGAAATTGTTAGTGAAGTTGTTGTATATTCTTATTTTAGTTCCCGTTGGATCTGCCTTCGTCATCATCATCTTTTTTGTCATCTTCATAATATGGCATCGGTACAAGAGCCACCGTTTTTCCTATTTCTCTTCAAAGGAAAAATCACCAAACGTTGAAGATGCGAGTCTTTTCTACGGTGTATCTGTTTTCTCCTGCACAGAGCTTGAAGATGCCACTAAAAATTTCAACCCTTCTAAGGAGCTAGGGAATGGAGGTTTTGGAGCTGTTTACTATGGTAAACTCCAAGATGGGAGAGAAGTTGCTGTGAAGCGACTTTATGAGCACAACTACAAACGAGTCCAACAATTTGTGAATGAGGTTCAAATCCTCACCGGATTACGTCACCCCAACCTTGTGGTGCTCTATGGTTGCACTTCTAGACAAAGCCATGAACTTCTCCTTGTGTATGAATACATCACCAATGGCACTGTTGCAGATCACCTCCATGGAGAAATAGCAAATCCAAGCTTTCTGACATGGCCATTAAGAATGAACATTGCTATTGAAACAGCCAGAGCTTTAGTCTACCTTCATGCCTCTGAAATCATACATCGAGATGTCAAGACCAGTAACATTCTCCTTGATCACAATTTCAGTGCCAAAGTAGCAGATTTTGGGCTCTCGAGGCTGTTACCGAATGATGTCACTCATGTGTCTACAGCTCCTCAGGGAACACCAGGGTATTTGGATCCCCAATATCACAATCGTTACCAATTGACAGAAAAGAGTGATGTTTACAGCTTTGGAGTGGTCTTGATTGAACTAATATCATCGATGAGGGCTGTCGACTTAAATAGGTCTGAAGACGAGATTAGTTTGGCTAATCTGGCTTTGAACAAGATCCAAAGATGTGCGTTAGATCAATTGATCGATCCTGATCTAGGATCCGATTCAGATGCTGAAACCATGAGGATGATAACATCAGTAGCAGAGTTGGCTTTTCAGTGTTTACAATATTATTCAGAAATGAGGCCTACAATGAATGAGGTGTTGGAAGCGTTGAAGGTTATTCAATCCCAAGGGGGAATAGATTCTGATGACAGTATCAGCGACATGGAAAAAGCAAAACCGCCACCACCGTCGGCAGCCAGTGATAAGACGGTTGTGTTGAAAGATTTTCTACCTTCGCCAGTCTCCATCACCAGTGAATGGCATAGCGCTAGCACCGCATCAACCACACTGACTGTCAAATAGATTGCATATTCATGTGCCCCGAGTGGTTTTTGTTCAATTTTTCACCGTTTCTATGCCCTAAATATTTGCTTTTTGGTGAGATCATGAAAAGGAATGTAATTAACATTAAGCGTTTGTTTCTTTTTGATTTAATGGGATAGCTATACATTGTTGTTTCTTTTCAACTTAATGGATTAAGTGACGGAAGTGTCACTTTACATGCAATTTCGTTACACACCCTGTTTCAGGTTAACAAGTGGCATAAATTGGCCCTTATTTTTACTTGCAATTTCGTTACATATTTTGTATAAACGTTAACATAGTTACATAAATTGGTCGAAGGTTGAAAACCTGTTGCATAATAATAAGTAACCTTCTAGTTGTCGCATTTTTAATTAAACCAAGCACTAGAAGCAGAAGCTAGCACATACATACCCAAAAATATGAATCAACCCCGAACCTGAAAAATCAAATCCTTTTCAAAAAGCCTTGATCCATAATGTTTGGCATATCTAGATGATTTAATAAGCAGGAACATAAATCAAAACATTATATGAACTAAATGTTGTTGATAATTACATGCAACTAATAAACAACAAAAGTCAATGAGTCAATTAGTCAACTCTTGATTCTTAATGGAAATTTTGATCAAAGTTTCCAATTGCTTAAAAGACTTGGTCTTTGTAGAAACTTCAAGTCAACTGCTGGGTTTCAACATGGTAAAGCAGCTTAATTATTTATATTTTCTTGATGCTGCAAAAATACAAATAATGTGAAAGCTTATGTTACCTTCATAACTTTCTTCAAGTGGGTTGTTTCCGTTACCCGTATGAGTATCTTATATACACATACTGATGTTAGGTCTATACTTTCTTCTAGGATGATCTCATATATTGGAAATTTAATAAAACAGTGTCTATCTTTCAAAGTGGTCCTGTTTGTAAGTTTGAATTATGGCAGTTGAAAAGTATTAGATCGCATGAAGAGGGAACCACATGAAACTTTCCAAGTCAATCTTTTGGAGTTTCAAAGGGGTTAAGGATTAATGGAGGTGAAGAATATTCTGTGACTCCAAAGTCTTGATAGTGGGGCTCAATGAAGAGATATTTATAAAAGTGACAGAATTTCTATGTTTTTAGCCCAAATGTACCAAAGACTTTTCTCTATTGAACAAAATAGACCTAAAAGATATATAATGTATGAAGTCTCAAGTGCATTTGTGACAATAAGTGTCTAACCTTTTCTGCTGGACATTTGAAATGATTCTCGCTATCTTTTTTGCCTCTGCTCTTCTCTCTTGTTTGCCTTTTATTCACTCTGCTACAGACCACAACATTTCCAAATCTATCTGCCCAAAAGATTTCATTTGCCCAAAATTTTCCCCATTCACGTACCCATTTTATAATATCACTGACAGCAATTGTGGGTTGATCAAGGTCAACTGTACTTTATATGGTGGGGAAATTGAAATTGAAGGAGAGTCACATGAGATTGTTTCCAAGTATGTGTCAGATCCTCAGGTCATGATTCGTAATGCAACATTTAAAAGACTTATAGATAATAAAAGTTGTGAGGCACTTATGGATAATTTCACTTCCCCAAGTCCTCTTTTGTATTCAATTTCAATCCTACCCTTCATCACTCTCTACAGATGCACAAATCATACGAATTCTATAAATACCTCAAAATACTTTGATCAATATAATTATAGTGGATACGACAGATGCGATGCTCATGAATTCTACTATGATTACTCATTGATTCGCTATTAGCAAATAATTAAATAATTAATTAAATAAAAAATGGTGTTTCTGATTTTTTGCACTTGCAATTAAGGAAACAAAATAAATATATATCGACCTAATATCTCTTCTTTATAACCATCGACATACCGTTGTATCCCTCATCTTACCACTATTGTATCTTCTTCTTCCTCCCTCTCGTTCGTCGACTTCGTATTCCATTATCGAATTCGGTCTATAGTTGCCGCCGTACACCAACATCGTAGCCCTGATACACCAGCATCCTAGCATCCTAGCCCTGGTATGTTCTTGAGCTGAATTTCTAATTTTTAAACCTAAAGAAACATCGACGCACATGTATCGTGTTTTCATCGTCGACAACCACCACCATCTTCTTGCCCTTCGGGTTGCTGACCACCACCATCATCTTCATGACTTCATCGCAGTCGACCATCGCGACTACCCACTTCTTTCCTCATAGCCATTGTTGCCTACGACCACCACTACTACCCCTTTCGATTAAATCAAAAGATGCAGAGAATGACAAACGAGGAAGACACGAATCCCACAGGAGATCAACTAAGGTTTTCCCGACATTTGTGGATGCTGCAACGCTATTTAAGGGGTAGGTATATGGAATTACTAGTTTTGTAAATGTCAAAATAATACCCAAATAACAGATTCAATAACTCTACATTTTTTTATTTGTTATCATGCAGCTTATATGTTGAATCGGACAATAAAGATGTTGGAAAGCCTGTTGGAGATTATTTTGGCATCCTAGGAGATGTTCCACAAGTAAGGCACTTCTCCATTATCCATCTTTTCTCTTTTTCATTTTTTTTTTTACTTTTTGCAAAATTGAATGTAAATACTGGATGTCTTAACCACGTTATTGGATATATTGGAAATGATGATGGGAAAAATTCGTGTTTGACCAAGATTTGACCTTTGAAAACCTTAAGGTATTAAAATTAACAATGTAAGAATCCAATTGGGTGTTTCTTGATGTCTAAATGTCCTTTTATAACAAATTGCCAAGCTTTTGGGGAGGGCTTTTTGGAAGAAAAGCTTAAAGCTTTCTATAAATCTGTGTAAGTTATTATTTTTGGGATTTTGGTTTCTATATATTTATTCTTAGAGTAAGCTATAACTTTTTCTTTTGGTGATTGTTAAAATGATGGTGATTTGAAGATAGTAGTTAGGAATAACTTTGATGAGATTATCTTAGACGAGTCAAAAGATGTTCTACTAAAGGTAAGATGGAATCGAGGAAGGAATGGAATGGTCTATTCCATCATGGAATGGAATGAAAAATTACAATATAACCTATTTTTATCTATACGTAGATTTATGTGCCATGGTGTGGGCATTGTCAAGCTCTAGAACTAACTTACAACAAACTTGCTAAACATTTACACGATATTGATTCCTTAGTAATAGCAAAGATGGATGGAACTACAAATGAACATCCAAAGGCAAAGGTACATTTTTTTTTTAAAAAATTTTAATCTTTTTGAATCTATTGATTCTCGTTATTGTATATTTGGAATCTAAAATTATATTAACAGTAAATACAATATTTTCGAATGTATTATATGTATTCAGAATGTATTCTGCTAGAATAAAATATATGTATTCTGCCGGAATGTATTTTATGTGTTTTGTCATATTCTATGTATTCTACCAGAATATATAAAGTGATAGTTAATTGCAAGTAACATGTTTTTAACCATTATTAACTTATGTTGTATTTGTGATAGGAATGGTTAGAAGAATGCATTGAAGACCTAATAGGAATAACTTGAAAAATGAATAAAGTTTTATCATACTCACAATTTAAGAATGTTGTTATTTTTTAAGAATTTTATTCATTTTTATTGATATTCTTTTAGAATATGTATAATTATATTAAAATGTACAAGACTTTTAGTGTGTAAGAATATGTATGAATTTGTATTTAAGTTTGGATGTATAAGAATATGTTAGAATGTTGTTATTTTTAAAGCTTGGATTAAAGAATTTTATGATTCTTCAATAATATTCTAATAAAATAAAATTCTGAAAGAACATCATTCTAGCAAAAAACAATATTCAGATAAAATAAAATCGGTTATGTTAACAAATTAAGTTACAACTAAAATTGAATTAATTAAAAAAATTCAGATTTTTGAAATTAGGAGATTTAATTATCCTTAAAAATTCCAACATTTCCTTTTATAAAATGTAGTTAATTGTAAAAATACTCATTTGCTAAAATTTGTGTCATTATATTGTACGTGTATCTCATTGTAATATCATACTCAAATCATATCCATTGATTAATTCTATCCGTTGGTCCAAATCTATACATTCTGACACACAATAGTTAGTAAAAACAAAATAACCTAAGCCTACATATATATATATATATATATATATATATATATATATATATATATATATATATATATATTAGACAAACTTAAAAAATGGTCCCTGTGGTTTCTGAATATTTTAAGTTTAGCCCCTAAGTTTAAAAAACCTCACGGATTGTCCATGTGGTTTCAAAACTTTTAACAAATGGTCAGTTTCGTTAACTTCGTTAGCTTTTGGCCATTAAATGAAGGGCATTTCGGTCATTTCACTACTATAGGGACCATTTATGAAGTTTTGTCTTATTTATATATATATATATATATATATATATATATATATATATATATATATATATATTCTATGTATTCGGGCATTTCGGTCATTAGCAGTAAATACAATACTTTCAGATGTATTGTATGTATTCGGTCAGAATGTATTCTGCTAGATTAAAATCTATGTATTCTACCAGAATGTATTGTATGTGTTTTGTCATATTTTATGTATTCTACCAGAATATATAAAGTGATGGTTAATTGCAAGTAACATGTTTTTAACCATTATTAGCTTATGGTGTATTTGTGATAGGAATGGTTGGAAGAATGCGTTGGAGACCTAATAGGAATAACTTGAAGAATGAATAAAGTTTCATCATACTCACGATTTAAGAATGTTGTTATTTTTTAATAATTTTATTCATTTTTGTTGATATTCTTTTAGAATATGTATAACTATATTAAAATGTACAATGCTTTTAGTGTGTATGAATTTGTATTTAAGTTTGGATGTATAAGAATATGTTAGAATGTTGTTATTTTTAAAGCTCGGATTCAAGAATTTTATTATTCTTCAATAATATTCTAAGAAAATAAAATTCTGAAAGAACATCATTCTAGCAAAAAAAAATAGTCTGATAGAATAAAATCGGTTATGTTAACAAATTATGTTAGAACTAAAATTGAATTAATTAAAAAAAAATCAGATTTTTAAAATTAGGAGAATTAATTATCCTTAAAAATTCAACATATCCTATTATAAAATGTAGTTAATTGTCCAAAATACTCTTTTGCTAAAACTTGTGTCATTATATTGTACGTGTTATCTCATTGTAACATCATATTCAAATCATGTCCATTGATTAATTTCATCCGTTGGTCCAGATCTATGCATTCTGGCATACAATAGTTAGTAAAAACAAAATAACCTTAGCCTATATATATATATATATATATATATATATATATATATATATATATATATATATATATATATATATATATATATATATATATATATATAGTAGACAAAACTTCAAAAATGGTCCCTATGGTTTCCGAAAATATCAAGTTTAGTCCCTAAGTTCAAAAAACCTCACGGATCGTCCATGTGGTTTCAAAACTTTTAACAAATGGTCATTTTCGTTAACTCCGTTAGCTTTTGGCCATTAAGTGAAGGACATTTCAGTCATTTCACTACTACAGGGACCATTTATGAAGTTTTGTCTTATTATATATATATATATATATATATATATATATATATATACATATTTATTTATTTATTTATTTAATATAAAGGAGGCCCACCCACCCACCCACCCATCTCTATGTGTGCGTGTGATTCTTCTTCCAAAAGAGAACACACCTTTTTAAAAAACTTTGAAGCAAAATTATCAAAGTAAATGGATTCAAACTCTAATTTCATATCCAACTTTAATTTCATATCTAATTTCATTTACAAACTTAAACATCTCTCTCTACCATGTTCATCTTCATCTGATCATCATCATCGGTATAGAGAAGCTGTGAAACAAGAAACAGCCAGCTTGGGGTGTGAACAAATTAATGTCATTGGGGCATTTCCACAAACAGTTGGTGTGCAACTTAAGAAAATTACCATGAAATCCTTGTTTTTACTTCTAATTGAAATCCAAATTGGAGCTGAACTCAATACATACAGATGTATAATCAAAGAAATTGAAAATATACACATAAAACCACTTTCTCTCTCAATCCTAATACATGAAATCCTCCTGATTCCAATAACTATTGCACCAAAACCGGTACCTAAATCCACCCACAAACCTTCATTCAATTCTTGACTCTACTTGATCACATCTTCCAGTAGATCGATTATCAACTCAGTTTCAAGCCTTGGAATCAGATCACCTTCTTCGACACTCAGAACCAAATCCCCCATAAAGAGTAAAGATCACCCAATTAAGCTCTTAATTGCAAAACAATGTTGTGTTTGGAGTCGTTGAGGGTTAGTAATGGTTTTGGGTTTTCTAAAGCATCTTCGATCAGCCAATTAAGTTCTCTGTGTAAACTTTCAGAGTCTGGTCCGTTATTTGAATCTATGAAAGATGAACCGACAGATGACACCAAGGTTTTCACCCAATTTGGCCATTGTTGCAGGTCGGATAAGGTTCCACTGAAGGTGGGTGGTCAGAGAAATAAAGGGGAGGTTAAGGTTTAAGGCAGTGGGTGCATGGTAAACGAAAACTGATGAAGAAGGAAATAGAGAGATTGAGGGTTCTTGATGTAAATGTAGCTGAGAAAGAAGAGTGTCGTGCCAAACTTGAGAGATTCAAAACCCATATGAAATCAAGCTTGTGGAAATATGAATTTATGCGGGGGTTGATTCAAATTGCAAAAGGATGCTCTCTTTCTGTGAATGAAGAGTGAGAATTGAGTGATATTTTGGAGTTTATGATGAAGTGAAGAAGGAGGTAGGAGATCAAAAGGGTGTGTTCTTTTTAGGAAGAAGACATACAGAGAGAGAGGGAGAGAGAGAGAGGACCCTTTAATATTAAATAATTATATATATTTTTTTTAAAAAAAATAAGGCAAAACTTCATAAATGGTCTCTGTGATTGTGAAAGGATAGAAATGCCCTTCACTTAACGGCCAAAAGCTAATGGAGTTAGCAAAAAGGACCGTTTGTTAAAAGTTTTGAAACCACAGGAACCATCCGTGAGGTTTTTTGAACTTAAGGACTAAACTTGATATTTTCGGAAACCATAGGGACCATTTTTGAAGTTCTTTCTATATATTATCAGAGTCGACGTCACACTCTCCTGTGGCTCAACACATCCTTATATATCCTCATCGAGCATTCGACTCAGTTTTAGTTTATCCCACATCGATGCGACACGGTCTTATAAGTGACTATATATATATATATATATATTGGAGTCTCCCTCTCTCCACAATGGCTCTTTTGGAGAAACAATATTGGGCTCCACATATATTTACACGAAATCCACTCTACAAACTTCACTGTCCTCTCTCAAAGTTGCATCATCTGTTGTGACAATGTAAGCATGTTTTATCTTTTTGGGAATTGTTTAATATTAACACACTAAATACATTGAAATGAACATTCACTTTGTTCAAAATAATGTCACTAAAGACGAGGTTCGAGTTTAATATTAACATACTAAATACATTGAAATGAACATTCACTTTGTTAAGAAGAATGTCACTAAAGACGAGGTTCGAGTTCTTCACATTCCTTCTTGATATCATTTGGCCAATATCTTCACTAAAGGTCTACCATAATGACTATTTGATGACTTTCAGCCAAAACACACTCTCTACATCCATAATCTTCCCGTCAAGACTGCTGGGGACTATTTGAGTAAATATCTTATTTGTATACTTATCTTAGAGATATTTTATGCTAGAGATATACTTTCCTTATTGTACACATCATGCATGCATATTTATATATACGTATCATATCAATGAAAGAGATCATTACGATTCACATTAACTTACAATGTTACCAGATTTTGGATTGCGTTTGACCTGTAAATCCCGACAAAAGATTTAGGCGGAATAAATAATGATGCTACCTGAAAGAATACCCTGCTTCTATTAAGGTATAATATCTAACATTGTGTCAAATGCTCTTTGTGAAGCAATGGTGGTTATGGTTTCCACTTCAAAGTTTGTACTAATTAGATATGTTTAGAAAATTTTGGTTAGAATTACAAATATTCAAATTAGAACTATAATCAAATTGTATATTCCACACTCCTTTTGCAAAGATTCTAGATCCACCACTGCATTATCAACATCACATTCATAAATGTATTTTGATATTTTAATTCCGTTAATACATTCTTTAATTTTAACAGATGTATTCTCGCTCACATTTTCATAAAATTAATTAATGTCTTGTTGATTTGGTATTTCAAACTTCAAAGAAAGGCAAAGATTAGAATTGGTAAAAAAAACCAAGGACCATGGAGACTGAAGAGTCAATGAGTCAAGTCTTGATAGTTTATCTTGATACAGTGGATGAGCATTTCATCAAAATTTCAGTCGACTTGTTTGAAAGACTTGGTTTGTACAAAAACTTCAAGTCAACTGTTGGGTTTCATATGATAAACAACTTACATTATTTATATTTTGATGCTGTAAAAAGCATCAAACTAAAGTAAGCACTTAATAAATAGTAATAAGGTTGTTGATAAAAAAATAAAAAAGCAAAAAG